AATTACTGTCCTAGTTTGCTTTCTCTTGCTGTCATAAATACCATGACCAAAAACAGTCCATCATGAAAGGAAGTCAAAGCCTAACTCAAGGCAGAAACTGAAGCAGGGACCATGGGGGAAGTACACTCACTGGCTTGCTTCCCCTGGTTTTCTCAGATTGCTTTCTTACAGAACCCAGGACCACTGGCCCATGTGTGGCATAGCCAACATTGGGCTGGGCCCCTGACATCTATCATCAATCAAGAAAATGTCCCATAGACTTGCCCACAGAACAACCTGACGGAGGCAATTCCTAATTGAAGTCCCTTCTTTCCAGTTTGTGTCATGTTGACAAAAATTAATGAGCACACTATCTTACAAGAAACATCAAACACATGAAACAAAGATTATCCAGACAAAAAGGATCCAGACATGGTGGCATACCCTGTAATCCCAACACTTAGGATGCAGAGGCATTGAGGACTGCCCCAAGCTTAGACTACAGAGTCAACCAGGGTTTCATAGTGAGACCTTGTATCAAAACATAGGATTCTGGGGGCAGCTCAGTTCCACAAAAGTGCTTGCTATGCAAGCATGAGGACCCAAGTGCAGATCCTCAGCACACATGAGAGCCAGATGTGACAACAAATATCCATAACTTCACTTCTGGGAGTGCTGAACATAGGTAGATGGGGAGGGAGGTTCCTGAAGCTCACTAACTAACCAGTCTAGGTGAATTAATAAACTTCAGATTCAGTGAGAGACCCTGCTTCAAAACCAAACCAAAACCAAACAAACAAGATACAAAGTAACTGAGAAAGACACAGACATCAGCCTTTGTCCTTTACATATATAAACAAACATGCATACACAGGACCTTATACTGAAAGAAAAATAAATCCACAAGGATAATAGGCAGTTTTAAATTTTTGAATACATGGTGGAACAAGTGAATAGAAAGTCATTAGTGACAGCAAACGACACTTCGTAAGTGGGACCTGACATAAACAACATTCTACCCTCAAGGTTACATGAAATAATCACAGTTGCTTGTAAAATGTATACAATTCCATAAGAAAGTATACTTCAGAGAATGTTAGCGCCACAGTTGAAGAAAATAAAAATCAAGACACTTTCTAAAACCACTTAGCCTTGAGTCACAATTTCCAAATTATTTAAATGCCAGTATTTTAGTCAGAACTTCATTTCATACTGACCTCCAAATTATGACATCTGTATATTCAAGTAAAAATTTCCATACTTTGAAGGCATTAGTGTGTGTGGTTTGAATGAGAAATGTTCCTCATAGGCTCCCATATTTGAATACGTGATCCCTGGTTAGTGGTGCTCCTTGGGTGGGCTATGGGGATGTGTGGCCTTGATGGAGGAAGTATGTCAATGAGGGTGGGCTTTGAGATTTGAGAGTTCAAAGCCACAACTGACGTACAGTGAGTTCTTTACCCTTCATCCTTGTGGTTGAATGTGATTTCTCAGCCTGCTACAACAACCTGCTGCCAAACCTCCCCAGACATATGGACTCTCCCTCGAGAACCATAAGCCCAAAGAATTGCTTTTGGTCAGGGTATTTTATCACAGCAACAGACAAGTAACTAATACGGTCCATACGGTGTCTCTGTGGAAAGCATTTGACAACCAAATAGGTACTCTATGTCTATGACAAACAAGCAAGCATACAGTTACACAAGTAGAGAATTCACCAGCTCATCAACATATTCCAGGTGTTTAAAAAAAATGAAGGCTAGCACACACAGACATGGGGCTGCTGGGGGAGGCAAAGACAGAGACAGGGGTGGTACTAAGATTGCATCTAGTTAAACACCACTGTTATTCCTGGGTTGTGAAAAGCACTTGTCCACATATCCTTTTCAGTATTTATATTTTACACGGTGATCAGGAGTCACACAATTCAGGATATTTGATAACTACTCACGATCAATTTATTACTTCACTTTAATTTCCTTCCTTTTCCTCCCCCACCTTCCAAAACTAGGGACATCTAAAACATCCTGAATTCCCAACAGACTATGATAACTATGATAAAATTTATTTTATTCCTACTGCCAATCTGAAGGGGCTTGGTTGAGCACATACATGGTCTACTTGCTCGTGTCCTTTAAAAAATCATTCAAAGCATATGACAACAGAAATGGATCTGGGATCATAAATTTCTAATTATGTAGGACTCTCTTCTGGTTTTTTTTTTTTTTTTTTTGAGACAAGGTTTATCTGTGTAGCTTTGGCTGTTCTGGAACTCACTCTGCAGACCAGGCTGGCCTCAAACTCACAGAGATTCACCTGCCTCTGCCTCTCAAGTGCTGGGATTAAAGGCATGCGCCACCGCCACCACCCGGCTGGCTTTGATAAGGACTCTTAACAGCGGAATTCTGTAGCTTTATTGAAAAGAAACAGGAGAATGCAAAAACAAAACAAAACAAAACAAAAACTTTAAGAACAACACTTCCCACCTCTGATAAACAGCTCCAGTGTGGAATCCTGTCCACCTCTGGAATTGTAGACATGCCACCCAGACTTTCAGTGGGATAGCCCCAGGACTTTTAGCAATTATAGCCAAGTATACACTCAGTCAATCTTAATCACCTATTTCCTTAAGTAATCCTGCCTCCAAATCCCTTGCTCTTCACACACACACTATATATAGTGTGTGTGTGAAACTTCTTAAAAGTATGATAGCACACAATAAAGTAACATAAAGGGCCCAAATAAAAACAATTGCAGCCCCTTTCCTTAACATAAAGCATCAGGCTAAACAGTTGCTGTCACCGAAGATCTTTCAGAATAGCATTCTAAATGACTGCAAGTCTCTGCTTTTATGCATTCAAAGGTCACTGGGAAACAAATCACAGCAACATAAACATGTTCTTAATATCCATATTTATTTTTTAACAGGTCATTTCTGGATCTAATCTAATTTCTTTGTTAAATGATCAGGTCATAATAAAAAAGTCTGAGATGTGATTATATCAGAGGTTTCCTGTAACTAAAGTGAAAAAAGTTTAGATGACAACCTAGAACAAGAAACCTCCTTAAACATCACAGTCACTTTATTACTTTATTATACCGAACATCTTCTGTCCAGCCCTGGGTGTTCACACAGGCCTTCAGCATCTCAGCAGCTACATCTACTGACTTAATCTCCTCCAGCACAGCTGCCTGGGTGATGGAGGCACTGTTCAGGGGTCTGCTGACTGGACCTGCCCTACTGGAACTCCTGCAAGCAGCCTGTGAAAATGTCAGCTTGGAGTCTGTTCTGGAGGGCAGGGTCCCTAGAGAGCCTGAGTGTTGGCCTGTTTGTCTTTTCACATGCTCCACAATCTCAAAGTCCTTCTTTGTAGACACTGACTGATGCCCAGGGAATGCTAGGATTGTGGGAACTGGCAGGACCCACGAGAGACAACTTCATGGGAAACCTGTACCCACTGCTTTTGCCTTCTCGGGGCTCAACAGAGAAGCTGCTTGTCAGTGTTGTGAAGGTATACGAGTGGCAGGAAGAAGCTGTGTACCATTTTATTTTCTTTAAGAAGAAATAATTGTGGAAACAGGAAGCAAAAATTACTGGGACTAATAAAAACAACAACAGAAACAAAGCCAACAAGTCATAAAACATCACTGGGGGAAACCTATTTCTCACGAACAGAGACACCAGTCTCTCTAGGCACCTACATTAATTCTGTACTGTTTTAAACACTATAGAGATTCACCTCCTCTCCTGTCAGAGCAGTGTTACAGAGCAGGTACTAGGTGTGGCCCCTAATCTGCCGGTGGGAAGCAGGCAGAGGGAGGAAAACACACAGCCAAGTAATAGTCCAGCTAGAAGCTAGGTCCTGTTGGTGTTCTTAACCACCCTGTGTGCTGCTCCTTGGAGATTCCTGCTCATCAAGCATGCAGTGTGAGCATGACTGTGCTTTGTGTGTTCTTCAAGAATCATCTCTACACTGCTTTTCTGCATACAGCCAGGGGAACTGCTTTTAGAGACCTATGTGCCCAACAGTTTTACAGGACTACACTGCACTCTGAATTGCTGACCTTGCACTAGAGGCTGGAAGTCTAAAAATTATCTTAGATCAAGGCACACAATGGTCATCTCAATAAATGTTTGCTAATAATATTTTTTAAAAATATCTTTTGGTAGCTAGTGAGAAGGTTCACCTGGTCAAGACATGTACTGCCAAGCCTGATAATCTGAGTTCAATCCTCAGAACTACTCTGCCTTTACACGGCATAAACACAAGTGTGTACAAACTCAAACACATAAATAAATAAATGAATGAATGAAAAATAAAAGTATCTTTATTTCTGTCTTTGGGGTACCAATTTTCAATACCTTGGGAGAGGCTGGCTAGCTGGCAACCCAATTAGCATCTTAATTGCCTTGCCATGATGATGGTGTCTATGCCAATCCACAGCATGAAAGCCATCCAAACACTGGCAGGAGCTAAATGCTGCCTGCAAAACCCCTGCTTTCCTTATTAAACACAAGGTCACACACCAAAATTCTAAGATGGTGAATAAAGATATTAGCACTCTCAGTGAAAACCAGCAACATACATGACAAGAACATCGATCATTTGGACTTTAAAAAAAAAAGTGAAATAGTCCCTTTTAAACTGATAGACTGATGCCACCATCAACACATAACACATACCTGGCTAACCTTTGAGAGCTATAGGAAGAAATACCGCATGTTCTAAAGTAGAGACATTATTTTAAAAATAGCATCCATCAAGTCAATTTCTTTTCCTTTTGACAATGAGGAGCATTTGACTAACAGAGAGCTCATGTGTATGTTTAATAACGTCAGCTGGCTGAGAAGGAAGCGTATTCATGGTTCTGCTGCCCACTGAAGAGTAAGACAAAAGTGGAAACGAGGCGAAAGAGTGCATGATGTGATGAGAAAGGGCAGCAGGAGGGGAGCATGTGGCTGAAGCTGCAGACAGACGCCGTGATGGGGACACTGTGACACAGAGCGCTTCTGGACTTACCCGTGCTCACAGACTGAGCCGGCAGAGGAAGCTGGAGTCCTGACTCCCCAAACACTATACTTCCTGTCAATAACAGCGAGGGCAGCAGAGAGGCAGGAGAGCCAAGAGCATGGTTAAAGGAGTCAGAAAACCAAAGAGAAAATTCCAATTCATTTGTTCTCATTCGTCATGTTGCTTTCTGCTATCACAGTACCATGATATCGATATCCTAAAGTATAAACTAAATGACACTGAATAGAAATACTCATGGGCTGCGTTTCCCAATACCCTCCCTCCATTTAACAGGATCTTCACAGGTATGGCAGACTACAAGTTTCTGATGTCTTTTTTCTCTTCCTTGATGCTCTCTGAAGGACAACAATTCCTCCTTCACAAGTACATTTACTATTCACCAATCCAATGTCTAATAAAACATACAGTAGACTCTAACTTTAAGAAAATCATTTCAATTTATGTAAAAATACACTTCTTGAATCTAGTACCTAGAAAGCATCTTAAAGTGTTAGGTTAGGCATTTCTGTATGTTACGATAATGTGGTTTCAATGGTAGATTAAAGTAAACTGCTAATTACTATTCACTAAGTTGCCCTGTTAATACAAAAGGTAATCACCGATGCTCCAGGTGATGCATTTCTCTAAGAGACACCATTAAAAGCCCAAGTGAATGACTCCAAATGAGGAGTCAGGGGTGCTGTGGGGGGCCCTGTGGTCATGTGAAACTGTGAGCCCCAGAATCCCTAAAATGAACATGGATGAGCACTACGAGTACTCTGGCCTTGTACTTGCTATACAAGACAAGATTCATGCCCAGCTCAGAGGTGTGGAAAGGGTCCCCTCCCACTCCCTCCCACCAGGCATATACTACAAGGGTGTGTTCAGCAACACACAAAAGCAAACTAAATCCTTACCAACAACTGTCTGAAGAAATCCAGAGTAGAAAAAAGAGGGCAGACAGGTTATAGGTGCCTACTGACATTGTGAAACAAAACAAGTTATTCAATAGGCGACTACGGACCATTATGAAAGGGAGTGCCTCACCTTAGGGGCTTATGAGGCTTCTTTTTCCTTCTGAAGGAGTCAGGAAACACACTGTTCACAAATACCATCATTAGCCACAACCTGAAGAAGTTCACTTGCAGGTGTTGTTCTCAAGTTTGTTTTTGGACTATATAATTGTGTCTAGTCTAAATCCTAAGGCTGATTGAAAAAATTAAAATCTTGACTAAGGAATATTAGAAATAAGCAGTAATTTTCTGAGTCTGACTCCTGAAGAAAAACAAATGATCAAAATTCTTCAGACAGTTTAGCGACGCCTGAAGAGTCACAGTAAGTACCTGGACCCTAGATGCCAACAGAAAAGTGACTATGGGAGTTTTACAGAAAATGATGCCCTGCTGTTTTCCCCAGTACAAAGGAGCAGGGACAGCCTCAGCTCCTCTGCTTAGCACCTGCTCAGCCCCTCTCTGCTGCCTTCAGGGTTCTGTGGCTTCTGGCTCTGGAGACAGAACTGCCTATCCCCTCACATTTCCACTCAACTGTGCCAGCTCATGTGCAGTCTGAGAAGCAGTTTGTCCAAGAACAATGTCTATTACCTTTGTACATTTCCAAATACCTGGACCAACAGGTTAATGAGGGGTGGGGAAATGTTCTCAGAGAAAATGCAAAGAGCAGAGCAATTATGGATAGAAGCCATTATTCACTAAGGTGCAAGGCAAGTGGCTACCCTTGCTTCAATGCCACAGTTTGGAAAGTTCCCTGTCCTGTGTATAGCTACATAAAGCCCTGTGCTGAGTCCAAAGTCAAGAGCTCTATGTTTCCTTATGGACAACCAACCTTTGAATATGCCATTTACTCTCTAGTAATGGGTCATTAATGAACAAAGCACAAGAGGGTCTAAGTTTTTCACTGTACAAATTTAACGGAAGGAAAAAATTCTCAAAAAAATTTTCAGATGAGGCTGAAGTCCCTAACTATGATAACCAATGATCGATATGAATGTCTGAAAAAGAAATTTCTCTTTACTAGGGCCACACACTTGCTATTTCACAGCAAATGCTTCAGATGAGACTGGGGGAGTCAGAGGTGATAGGCCACAGACAAAAGTTTTTCAGGATAGGCGGGCAGGCGGCAGGCACTGCCTCACTGCTACTGGGTTACTGAAGGTGAGCCTGAGGCTGTGTGAAGGGCACTGAGTCTCACTCCAAACACACAAGATGCTCTGGAGAGTGTACAGCTCTTTATCACAGCAGCTACCCAGGCTCCTCTGCAGGAACACTGGCAATGCCTGATACCTCTGCAGTTTCCCTGCCTTCATCCTGCAAAACACCTAACAGAGCTCTCCTTGAGTGTGGACACAGGAAGGTTGCAGTTCCTTTGAGGAGTGTGGTATCCACCTACACTGTCCTCCACCTGAGCTTTTCCTATTGAACACGAAATGCCAACATAAATATAGAAATAAGATGGGGCTAACTGGTGTGTTATGACAGAATGAAGTTTGGTGTTTTATGGATGGACTTTTTCATAAAGAAACACAGCTTATGTGTATCTATATATCTACTTTCCTTTACAGGGCCCATGTAGAAAAGATAACTACCTAAATGATTGCCTTATTGAAATGTTAGTAGCTGTAATTTTAGCAACACTCAGACATAAAGAAAAGAATGTAGTGTATTTGTGCTGAACATCTTCCATATTTACTCCAGAGTGGGAACATTCTGCCACTCAACTAATGGAATAACAAAAATATTTCTAAAAAAATAGATGATAGAAGATACTGGAATCATTACCTAAATGTGAAGCCATCTGCTCACAGAGCTGAATTATCAGCTGTGATTACATAACCCTTCTAATCACCAACTGAATGACCTATAATTTTTCTAACAGAAAAGAATGCAGCATCATTGAAAAAAGTTAAATACTCAGGAATAACAACAAAATACACGAGCAAGGACATGTGAATGTGATGCTTTTATAGTGGTTACACAATACTTTGTAAGTGGATTTGAGACCAATACCTCCATTTTGATATGATTTAAACATAAGACTACGAAGAGCTAAAAATATGAACAACATACATGAAAACATTAAAGAAAGCAAGTCAGGGTCTATCATTTATCTCTCTCTCTCTCTCTCTCACACACACACACACACACAACACCAGATTCCTTTCTATTTAACATTTTAATTGGACAAAATGGTACATAGTTATAACATACATGTGTAATGATGTTTTGAAATATGCACACTCTGTGGGTAGCTAAATGAAGCCTTGTATCAGATTATCTCTGTAGTAAGGATGCTTAGATTCTCTCAGGAATGCCATACATCATTATAACCACAGTCATTGTACACCACTGAAACTCACTCCTCCTGACTTGGGTTTTTATTTCACTCCTTGACTAACAACTCCTTAAAATCCTACATTTCTGATACTGTGTGCACAAAGATCCCTTCCACAACTTGAATTGTGTATGTAAGGCAGGAAGATGCTACGAGCTTGAAGTTAGAATACATGCCTGAACATTTCAAAGTTCCCACAGTTATCCCTTAGAAAAGGGAGCTGGCTCCTGTTTGAATCTTTAGATGGCACCTCATTGTGACATGTTCTTCCATGGCTTCACACTGAATAGAAATTACTCTCGAGGAAAACTCAACGCTAAAAAGCCTACTTCATTCAAAATTAATTTTATGTTTATGGAATCACTATAGTGATAATCAAAGAAAAATATCATAACATTACTTATTTCCAAGCTATAATTTCAAAGTGCAACATCGTTGTTTCAAAAAAAGTGTTTTAAAACTACTTTTTAAAAAATTAGTCAAATATTTTCTCTCAGAAAGGACTCTAGTAAAAGTTGATTCAGGCAGGCAAAGGGTAGACTGGAGGTCAACATACTCTTCCTGTATTCTCAGAACAGGTAAACAATGAGCATTTGGTTTGAAAACAGAATACAAAGTGGATTTATTCTAAAACAGAAGTTTACAGCTGCACAAGATTACAAATGATGACAAATCAAACATTAATGATTATGTCACAAAGATCATGGATATGAGACAACTGGAGAAAACCAGCCCTACTATTTCATGAGTGGTGCTTAGGATTCAGCATAGAATTTCAGTGCTGGATCACACATAGATTTTAAAAGCTGTTGGAACTCAGAGTGACAGAAATGAAGATGTATCCTGGAAATTACAGCTCAACACATAAATGTGGGTTGGTAAAACACTAATCACATAGAGTCATACAGAGTTTGGGCAGGATAGTTTTAGTAACTATGAGAGTAGAGAGAACAATATAAATAGTTGCATTACTTCATAAAATAAAGTTGAAAATTAATCATGTTACCCTTTTACCTATCTCCCTAACGACACACAAAGGAAGGGAGCATATTTCAGGGGTAGAGTGTTTACCCAGCAGGACAAGGTTCTGGGTTCCAAAATAATAAACTTTGAATGTTTAAGGGGAGCCTGTTGTACATGTGTACCTTACACTCAGGCATCTACATGAGCATCTGTGAGAGAATATGCCTACTTATATGAACTATATGACTATGGTGTACCCATTTTCTGTGCATTCCCTCCTCTGCTATACAGGGCCAGTTTGTGGCCTTCTGATTTTATATCAAATACAACTCAAATACCTGGGACATGAAACTAGTCTAGGGATACTGTGCAACCTGATTGCCATTTCTGAGTAAATATATTTGCCTCAGATGATTGTCTATAGTAAAGCCAGGATCATGGTGACAGAATGTCTAAAAAATGTCACTCAGGGCTCTTTCTGAACCAAGTCTATATGTTTTAAGCTAAGATGGTGGAGGGCAGAACCTAACAATAAGATTTAGGACACAAAACTTCATGACTCTCAAAAGAGTCATGAGATTGACATGTGAAGCAAGCTTGTTTCTAAATTTAAAAAAATAATAAATAAAATAAAGTGTCTTGAAAGTATAATAAAACATCCCTAGAAACTGATTTCTATATATAAAAAAAGATTTAGGACACAAAACTACATGACTCTTAAAAGAAGGCACTGCAACTTCATGCAGAAGCCTGTGGTGAAAGACTCAACATTACTTGCGGTCCTCAGCAAGGACAAGTCAGTAGGCCCGACTGGGACACATTCAGGCCCTAGAATCCTACCAGGGTGATGGGAAACATTCTGCAGGAAAATCATTTGATTTCTTCTTTGGAGATCCTTCATGGAGGTCATCACCCTCCCTGGTAATCAGAGTGGAGATTGGGTGGGGAGCCAGGAGGCCTGGTAGGGAGGGCAGGAGAGGAGGGGAGGGAGAGGGAGCTGGGATTGACATGAGAAGCAAGCTTGTTTCTAACTTAAATTTTAAAAAAGGAAGGAGAATAAAAGATGCTAAAAAACAAAAACAAAAAAACTGTAATTTAAAAAATGTACTTGTAAAGGTAAACACAGGAGAACTCTGACAGCAGGGTAAACCCACTTGAAGTTCTGGGTTCTTCTGCCTTGGCATGGTCAGCATGTTCTTTGAACATCACACTGTTGTTTATATTTGAAGTGTATTGCTGTGTATTAGAACTAAATGTACCTAATCTATATTTATTAGTATTGTTTTCTGGGGGCCTCTGGGATGCCTTCTGTCATCAGTGAGAATTTGCCATATTGTTAAGAATGAACTGGCTCCAAATAGAACCTAGTTCATCTTGTGCCCACTAGTATAAAATCACTCAAGAAGTTCTTGCTTTCACTCTGGCCTCTGAAATTAAGTTCTAATATACTGGAGACAGCAAAAGGGAGGCGGTCAAGGCCATTACCTAATTCTTTGGCATCAGCACCTTCACAATGCCTTTCCAGGAAAAGGTCTTCCCAGTGCAGAGAGTTACTGGAGACACAAGCAAAGAAGTAGATGGGAAGTGAAATACTGCCCCTTCTCAGGAATTGTCTTGTACCTCTGGGAAAGTGTCCCCTGTGGGGACTGTCAGTGCAAATGATAAAGCGTCATTCATAAATGGGAATTAGCTAGACTCACAAAGAGGGTGATCCCCTAGATCAAAGCCCCACGTGTGATCAAACACTCACCATTCTTGCGTTCGTTCAGAGGGGGTAAGTGCTGACTGGACTGTAGAGAGAGCTCCTGGAATTCATGAGCCACAGCCTCACTTTGAGGACTTGGTGCAAGGTGGGCTAGAGGACCCAGCTCTTCCTCTGTGTCTATGGCCCCTGTGTGATCCATCATGTTCCAGCCACTGGCAACAGGAAGTACGAGACACTTCTCAGACGTGACCTGTTGAAACTGACAGAAGTTTTAAAAAGTGTAAATTAAACAGTTTAAGTTTTTTCCTAGGTTCCACTACAGCTCAGTTCTACTGCTGTGTGCCTATTACCAACTCACCCTTTCTGTATCTCAGGTTCCTTGTCCAACTCACAGGAATACAGTTTCTACCTAGAAAGAATTTCTACAGTAAATAAAAGCTAAATGACATTTATATACATTTTATATCAAGGATTAAAGAAAATTCTAGCTATTGATGTTATTTAAAGATTTTAGCACATGCTAAAATGAGAAGTCAACAAATACCAAGTAAAAAAAAGAAATGGGCTGGCTTGCAAGTCCATCTCGATGCCTTTATTCTGGGTGACTCTGAATTAGTCAACAGTCACAGACTCCTTCATCAGCCTGGGTCTCAGAATGAACAAACCCAAAACAAAGAAAACACAGTTCATAAGGGAAAGAAATTTTATTTTAGGTCACGGAGACTTGGTTTTGTTTGTTACCACAGCATATGTTGGACTGTGCTGATTACTGAGAAGCTGGTAAAAACAGAATAAAAAAACACAAGAACCTCAAGCATGCGATACTAGTTAGGTACTGAATTGGAAGCCAGGCAATGGCAGTCCATCCATGCTATGCAGTGGCAACTTGCCTGCTGAAACTGTGGTCTACTTATACAGTAGCATTCTCTACATTTAGACTGTCGAGCTACCTAGTGGCTGGGTGGTTTGCAGTTTTGACAATTACAACACAAAAATTCTCCTATACACGAGCCTGGATACATGCTTCCACTTCTCTCCTACATATCAGGAATGGGATGACCAGATTACATGATAGCAGTATATGTAGATTTTTAAGAAATTGGAAAAGTGTTTTCCACCCCTAGTGGTAGGGCACCAGATCCCAGCTGGTCCATTATCCTTGACAATCCTTTTGTAGATTCTTTTCATTTTAGAGGGCATGAGGTTTTTCATCTCATGGTAGTTTTTTTTTTAAAGATTTATTTTTATTTTATGTGCATTTGGTGTTTTACCTGCATGTATGTCTGTGTGAGGGTGTCAGATCCCCTGGAATTGTAGTTACAGGCAGTTGTGAACTGCCATGTGGGTGCTGGGAATTAAACCCAGGTCCTCTACTCTTAACCCCTGAGCCAACTCTCTAGCCCTTTTTAAACTATTTCCCTAGTGACTAATGATGTTGGATATCTTTTTATGCAATTATCTCCCATCCCTTATGTTCTTGAATTAAGTATTTGATGAAATATGCTCATTTTTAATAGTATGCAGTTGGATTTTCAAAAGTGAGATCTTTTGTATATTCTGGACACAAGTACTTTGTTAGTATGCTTCTGGTAATCACTCTCTTCCAGTTAGTGCATCCCACTTTTGTGTTCATTGGTGTTTTATAAAAGTTAGGTATTTTTGATTTGGTAAGGTCCAATTTACAAATACTTTTATGTGTCACACTTCTGTTGTAGCTAATAAATTTTAGACTAGTACAAGGTCACAGAACTTAACTCTTGTGTTTCCTTCTAGACATAGAAAGACATCATATATTTAAGAGCAAGATGCAAAGTTTTATATATGCAGTGAGATATGAATCAATATTGATTGTTTATGGACATCTGATTGCTACAGCATCATTTTAGAAAAGATCATCTTCTCTACTAAATTGTCTTTGCATCTCTGTTGAAAGTCATTTAGCCTGTATAGTGTGGAGGGATCCCTTGTCTTTCAATTCAGTTCCTCAAAAAGATTAACCAAACCCCAGATCTTTGTGAGATCCCTAAGCATTACATGTGCAGGAAAGACTCTACAGAACATAGCTATGGCCATAAGAACCCCACTGAGATGTACCAGGCTGCCCAACATACAGAAGGAAGAGCTATACAAACAAGTGAGGCAAGCTTATATTCCCCTAAAACAGTCTTAAGAAACTACCAAAATCTAGAGTCTCTGCAGCTGCTAACCAGAACTCCACAGTCACTGAAAATACGCTGTAATAAGGATGGTAATTCATCACCAGCAGATGGACGCTACTAGAGATGCTTAAAGAACTCGTGTGGGATATCAGGAAGGTGAAGCAGATAGAGACTTCTTAAGAGCAAAGGCACTGAAGTGGTGAATATGCAAGTAAAAAACTAAGACTAGTTTTTCTTCTTAATTTCTTCAATATTAAGTGCAATGCAAAAGTCACAGGTGAAATCCATATGAGCATGAAGGATGAAGGGGGCAAATGCAATCAGCCTTTTTATATCTCTAGAGATTTTAAGTAAAATCTTTAAAAAGACTGACTGCGAAGTTAAGGCAGAATCCTAAAATAATTGTAGACAACAATACAAATAATCTTAGCTAAAATACTGACAAGGTAATTTAAATGATACTCTAAAAAACACCCAGTTAACTCCCAAAAGAAAGGGACGATGGTGAGGAGGAAGATGAGGCAAGCAAAAACAACAAATAAAATAGTAGGCCTTACCCAATATTCTAATAATTATATTACATTTTAAGGAGCTAAACACTCAAAAGAGAGGTTGACGATGCTTGTTTTTTTCAGTCCAAATATATACGTTCACAACTAACACACTTAAAAAAGAAAAAGATATGATTCTAGGAAAGGTAAATGAACACTAGGGGAAACCAAGAAGATGGGGAAGACTATACATTGCTATCAAATAATGTTCATTTCAAAAGGTTCTATTAGGTAGATAAATTTGCAGGCAAGATTACTTATTTTACTAAGAAACATTAAAATACAACTCAAAGATTTTTCAACACTGAATTTTCATTTTGAATTATTTGTTCCTATAAAATAAAATCTGTTCATAACAAAATATTTCAAAGACACAAGAACCATGATAACTGTAGAATGGCAAGATGTGCAAACCCTGAATATCAGTGTGGTACTGACCCAGAGGGTGCTTTAGACAGAGATTTTATTTTCAAGGCAGTATTTTATTACCTGTTATTAATACTAAAAGATCTTTTTCAACTTATGCCTTGACATTGTACTCACCTTAAACTCCCACACACTTCCAAATTGAGAAAATTATAAGCTAAGTAAATCTTTACAAAATGTAGCAAAGGAAAAAGAATAAGTTTTCAAAGAAATTAACTTAATACTCGTGAACATTTTTGATAGAGCATGGAATATACTCTGAAATTTGTAGGATGTCATCTTAAAGTCTACTTAGGTGCTTGACAATTTCTTTTGAAAATGAAATTCAACATCTATTATAAACAGCACTCTGTCTAGAAGTCTCTAATTGAGATCTAATATGAGACATCATGAAATGATAAAGAAAGAACATTAAAATAAATTGTCCCTCTGGGTCAAAACTGAGCTATAAGGTAAATATCACTCATCTGAAGTGAACAAAGAATGACAAAATTCATTTGTCTGGAACTGACAATGTGGTGAATGACTGGGGACTTTATTCCTTACAAAACTTAGTAACAGAAACATTCCAAAACAGAACATCCAGCACTCATCTGGCATGAAGTAAAGACACAGGAGATTCTGTAACATCAACCCAGGACTCAACTTTTGTTCTTACAACAAACCAGACATCATTCTCCAGGGTCTAGTTGGTTAAGCGTAGTCTTCAGCCCTCATCAAGGAAACATTTCTTTGCAACAGCCCAAGACCACTGAAGAAAACTGCAACTAATCAAAATACACAGCTGTGGAGCCTAGTTCCAACTGACACATCCATGACACAGCTCCTGTACTTGAGGCTCAGGGAACACTGCAGGAGAGGAGACTGAGAAAGTCTAAGAGCTAAAGGATCAGCGTTTGCTATGAAATTGTGATTCCTTCAAACAGAAGCTCCACCCATAAACTCTCACCCATATGGCTGCCTAAACATGAGCTGAACAGTGTGGGCTGGGAAAAGCTAATGAGTCTTAACCCTAGACAAAGACTTCGAGGAAACCAAGGGATACTGAGAGTGGGAGAAATCATCTTTCTCAGGGAAGACACAACAATTGGTTACTCAACATCAAATGGTAAGGCCTGAAAACAAGTAACATGATACAGACTGAACAGGTTGCATTTATGTATCTAAGAATATACAAATATATGTAACAACAAATAAGAAGAGAGTTTGGAGGGAGGAAAGGGGATAGGGAACTGATGAATTATACTGTAATTAAAAAATAAAAATTATCAATAAACAAATCACTTTAATATGGAAACAAAACAGCAGACATTACCCTATTTTTTGTTTTTACTTCTTTGATTTCTCAATCTTCTTTTAAAATGGAATCAAGATAATACCACAAATAATGATTCTGTATTTTTAAACACTAGGTTATTGGGTTAAGGTAGTCTTTAAATCAATGTTAGCATTTATTTCCAAATGAATGTAAATTCAAAACCAAGCTTCTTCCCATAATACCTCCTTGTTTATAATGGTCAATTTCAGGGACATATAATAGCTAACATATAGTCACTGCTACATATGTTAAATAAATAAGGCACCCAAGCTATGTCTGTGTGGAGCTTCAGAAGTTCAATACACAACTATTCAAATGTGGATATTTGGATAAGTGGATTACCCACTACACAAAGAAAAAAAAAGCCTTAGCTGTAGCAAAACTGTGTCTCTGCTTTTTCATGTTCTTCTGAATCTCAAACATTAAGACAAAAATGAACGTCTAAATAAACAAGATAAAACAGCAGGTTTGGACAAAGATGTTTAAAGACAAAAATACACACAATCAAAACTCATGATCAAACCTGTTTATATTTTATGAACAAATGTTACTTCATAGTTGTATAAATGGATCAAAATAACCACAGAACATCTTGGTTAGAAGGCATCTATGCCTAGTAGGTGTGCTTCTCCCTCTTCACTGGAACAGCCAGCCTCTGAGGGGAACAGAGGAGAAGGATCCAGACTCCTTTCACAGAGAAGAAATCAGTCAGAGAGCAATTACTGTAGCATGTGTGAAGAGAAGACGGCATGGAGATTAAAGTGTTCTGAGACCTTAACAGAGCGCAGTATGTCCATGGCACATCAGGGTAGTCCATGAGGGTGAGCTAGCATTTGTCCAGCAGAGTTTTCTTCCTCAGCAAAAGACAGCAGCATAGGCAGAGAAGGGAGAGGGGAGGAATCAGGCAGGGGTGGTAGACTAGCTCAGGTTAGGGATGGGGACTCTAGTGGGAATC